TAAATTTCTTTGAGTCTTTCTCTAGACTCTCAAATGATTATTAAATTCAAAAAAATTTTAAACAGAGAGAGAGAGAGAGAGAGAGAGAGAGTTAAGATGAAAACGGTGTAAAATCCCTTGAGAATCTGTGTATCAAATGCGTTTATAAAAGCGGTTAGTGGGAGGACGAAAAAAAAAAATTCCCTGCTTTCCATGCGAGAATCATATATATGTATAAATTTCTCAACGAAGAATATAAACGGCTTTGTGAAAAATCCCAACTTTCACCAGACTCAACAACGTACATTTGCTGGACAGCCAACTAGAGTCACGTTGTTTTGGATTCTTTCCAAGCGGCCTACTCTGTGATTTGTGTCCTTAGCGACAGACAACGAAGAATTAGAGTGAGAGCTTAAGCACATTTTTTTTTATTTTAGTCACAGGAGATGTGTACCGAAAAAAAAATTACGTTGTTTTCTCTTCAACTTCAAGTTTTTTGTTATTCCCACGCAAATCCTTTAGAATATAATCCACACTTCTTGCTCTAATCCAAAAACAATTTGTTCATTCATGAGAGAGAGAGAGGGAATTTTTTTTACTATCATTAATTATTTAAAATTAGTTAATTTTTAGTAAAAAATAAAAAATTTATTTATTTATTGTATGAATAATATTTTATCCTTAATTTCTTTATTTATTTTATCGTTTTTCATATTAATCGTATTAATCCCTAAATTTATTAAAAATGTTTACTAATTTAAATTGGTGACTGACTTTTTGTTTTTGAATTAATAGATTTTCGTCTTGCAAAAAGTAATAGCTGCTACTAATATTACAATCCAAGAATTCAAACTGATGTGTCTGACAAAAAATTACCATTACTACTAATGGAAAAATCGATAAAACGTAGCGTCTGACCAAAGAATCTTTTATACTACTGAAATTCAACTCGCAAAGATCTGTAACACTGTCTGGCTATTACTGTCTTTTGCTACTAGTATTACATCATTTAGCACTATTCAAGTCTGGCTGAAAATGACTTTTACTACTGATTCAAAAAACTATTAAAAAATTAGAAACTTAAAAAAATATAGTTAAGAATACATAAATAGTTAAAATAATAAAACATAAGGACATTTTTTTCTCAATCGTAAATTACATGACTGTTAGTCGAAATAAAAATGCGGCGCAATTTACTGATACTCTTGTTTTAACGATTACATATTAAATTTTTAATTACAAACCCTTGAATTGGATTAAATGTAAATCTCACACCTCTGATAAAATTAAAATTAAATTACACACTGTTAAATTAGATTTAGATTTAATACAACATTTTGAAAACAAAATTCTTAATATTCTACGACTAACAATGAGCCACATTACAAAAAATTAGAGTTAAAACAGAAAAATATTTTTATAGAAAAATATTAATTTCGTGTAGGTAATAAAAAAAATACTCAAGATTGAAGAAAAATATTTTCTCTAAATTAAACTAACAGAGTGAGAAAAAGTGGGAAAAAAACTTTTTTTTTTTCTTTAATTATTGTTCTCAATTACGCGCTTATGTATAAATGCGCGAAATGCAGTTTGTGTCGTTTAATTAGAAAGTTGCTATTTAGAAATGTGGATAGAGTCCTTCATGCTTCTCTCAGCTATTCTATATTCACTGACCCATTTTCTTTGTATATATATATATATATGTATAAGATAAACCGTAGTTTGCGAAAATTTAATAAACCCATCGATGCGAGTTGTGCTGGTGAGGGGGCAAGAGGGGGTATTATGCAACGCGCGAAGAGAAAAGAGATGAATAATATAAATTAAATCTGGAACGATTACAACCTTCTCGATTCATGCACTCAGTGAAGGGGCAAAATTGAAATTAGCCGAGATATGATTGGATATTCTGCTGATGAAATGCATATGGCGTTAAACTGAAGTGATAGTTGAACCGTAATCTACCCGAAAAATAAAACAAAAAAACAAAAAATAAATGTTTTCAACTCTCACCAAAATTAAATCCTTCAATTATCTTTATCTGTTACTCTTTCAATTCAATTAAATTTTCATTCAAAAAATATTCATTCACTTCTATTTTTCAAAACTTTAATTAATTTACCATTTACAAAAAAAAATCATATTTTCAAAAGAAATGAAATCTCATTTTCTCGAATAACAAAATGATATAGATATTTTTTTAATTTATTATAATAAAAATAATAATGAATAAAAGATAGTAGATATACGCACTTTAAAAATTGATATCAACTTTAAGGTGAAATTGAAAAAGACTTTTTTTTCCATTAAATATAAAATTTTTAAATTAAATTAAATTTTTTAAATTCATTCTAACTTTTTTAATTAAATTTAAATTTAAAAACTGACATAAATTTACAATTAAATGAAATTGAAAAGATAATTTAACAGTTGATGGAAATAATATTTTTAATAAATAGAATATATTTTCTTTTATAAAGAAAATAGATGGTAACTTATAAATAATTTTAAAAATTGTTCAAAGGGGGTTTTTTTTTTTTAAAGAGAAAGAGGAATTTTTTTTGTATTGTGAAATTAAGTTTTGTGTTAACCTGAATGTTCAGTGTCGTAAGAAGAGGACAATGTAACAACACTGACTGAAACGGATGGTAACTCACGTTCTCTTGAGGCGTGTAACCTGTTAACCTGTTATTGTTTGCGGGGAAGAAGGGTGAGAGAGGGTTTCATGGAACAACGACACATTTCCCACCCTGGTGGAAAGTTACTTACCGTAACTTCACTTTGCCTCTTGGTGACTACATATTCTCCAAGTTTTATTTATTATTGTTTTCAAGACATTAACTAGCCTTTTATCTTGGAAATTACGCTATTTATTTATTACCATTATCTTAATTTCTTGTAATTAATAATTTTAAATTTAAGTTCATTTTAATATGAATTTGAATTTGAATTTAACTTGAATTTGACTTCAATTTGAATTTTAAATAATTTTTATTCGACTTCAATATTAATTCCATTTAAATTCGATCTGAATTTGATTTTAATTTAATTTGAATATTGAATTGAATAGAATTTGAATTATATTGAATTCTATTTTAATTTTACTTTAATTTTAATTTTAACATTAATTTTATTCTTATCACCTATAAGGAATTTTTGAAATATTATTCATCGTTTAAAGATATTGAATATGATTCATAGAGAATGATGGCGAATTCTGGGTCGGGAAGGGGGGGAGGTAGAGGGTTTGGAAATAATATAAGGCATTGGCGGAATGTCAGAATAATTTGTAAGTATAACTCATGCAAAGCGCACCTGTGTTCGCCGAAAAGAGCTTTTACTCTCCATTTATTTCAGTGTTGGATGCCTCAATTTATTTTGCCTCTTATATAGATCGATTACAAAATCTGTTCGAAAAACTCTATCTTTTTTTTTTTGTAATCGACAGAAAAAAAAATAGTTTATGCATTGCTTCCAGCGACCGCAGTAGCGGAAAATGAAATTTTTTCGATAACGTAAATCAGTAGATTGTCGATGTTATAACGGAAATTGGAAATTTGTATTTTAAATCCCTGAAATTGAGAATGTTTCCCCCGATGTTGTCGATGTCATCATTGAGTTTCACAATGTTTATTTTGTTCCAACATTTTTGTTTAAGAATAGAAAAATAATTTTTTTTTCGTTCTTTTCACGATATAACAAAATATATATATTGAGAAAAAGGCAAACATGTTTTTTTGTTTTCAAGAAATTTTCGAAAACGTATTATATTTGTATTTAATATCCGGAGATGGATTTTTTAATATCTATTTCAAGAGAATAATTTTGTCTGATCGGAAATTTACTACTGAAATTATTTTTAAGTAAGATTTCGAAGACTTGTTCTTTTTTTTAATTACAATGTTTATTCGCAATTAAAAAAGGACAATTATTAAAAATTTTTCAATTATTACTTTTATTATTTAATTATTTCAATATGATTAACATTTTAAAATTATAAAAAGTGTGTCTGACTAAAACGGACTATTACTACTTGCAAAGAAAGGTTTGTCTGACATAACATAAGTTGTACTACTTATAAAACATTTCCAAAAATAATGAAACTGTCTGATAGTTCGGTTGACATCGACTACTTGTAATAATAATCAATGAATTAGAATTTCCCATGTCTGACCAAAAACTGATTTTACCACTAGTAACAAAAGTACTACAGACTTTTTCACCTTGTCTGACTAAAATGAACATTTACTACTAGATTTATAATTTTACCAATTCTAGAAAATCGTGTCTTTGTTTATTTTTATTAATTATTATTGTAATATTTTATATTAAATTTTTATTTTAAAACAAATTATTACTATTTTTTATTTAAAAGAACCAAACGTTTGTCTGACTTAAACCGACTATTACTACTGCAAGGAGAGATTTCTTTACAAGATTGTTATTTACACTGTCTGACTAAATTATACTTTTACTACTGCTGAAAATATGCCTGAAACATTGTCTGACTAATCATAAGTTGTACTACTTATAAAATTTCCGGAAAAAAATAAAACTGCGTCTGACAGTGTGGTTGACATCGACTACTTATAATGATTGATTTCGAATTTACACAGTCTGACTAAAAACTGATACTACCACTAGCAACAGAATTAAGACAAACTTTTTCATCTTGTCTGATTAAAATAAAAATTTACTACTGGAATTTTTATTTCACCAATTCTAGGAATTCCTGTCTTTTTTGATTTTTATAAACTTATTATTATTATTATTATATTTTCTTGTATTAAATTGTTATTCTGTAATGCATAGGGAGTAAAAATTACTTGCTTTTAGTAATAAAAAATACAATAGAAGCATAAAAATACATAAAAATAAAAACTCAAAAAGAAAATTTAAAAGAAAAAAATGAAAAAAGTTGGAAAAAATTTTAAAAAATCTGAAGTTTACAAATAAAAACGTCTAATTTTTCATAATTCAAGATTGAACTCAAGAGAATGTTTAAAAACTTTTGCTTACAGAGGCGCCTCGAGGGACGTATTTGTTGATAGATGGCCGACGTTTGGATCCAGGAAATCAGTTTGTACCCGTGAAAGAGGGCTCGGAACTGACACTCGAGTGTGCAGTGGATGGTGGTAACCCACCTCCAATTCTCGCCTGGGGCATGACTTTATCTCAAGCAACGTTGGATGGCCCTGAACAACCGCCAGACAATCTCACCATTTTACCAAACACTTCTGGTCGACATAGTGGAGCACATCTCAAGGTGTTAAGGGGTCATCATAATGCCACCATCATCTGCGTCGCTCGACACGTCACACTACCAACTCCACTCAACGCCAGTATACTACTTGACGTTCAATGTGAGTTTTGCATAATTTATGAATTAATCATTTTAAACTTGCGCGCCAACACACTCACCTCCCCTCCCACCTTACCCCACTCTCCCCTCATATATACATAAGGATGCAAAAGATTTTCATAAATCTTGTCGAGAAATCTTTTCAGTATTCTCTTTCACGTCAAGGCACGTTTTTTTTAAAGCAAAGAAGTCTTTTGCTTTCCTCACTTTTTTTTTATTATTAAAAGTCAATTTACTTTTCTTTACTATTTTATTATTTATTTGTATTATTTTACTTACTTTATTTAATTTAAATTAATTTACTATATTTAAGTAGACGAACATAGTCAGGGTTGGACCCTTTTTTATTAAGAACACCTTTTCGTTATTATAACGAAAATTATGGTTAATTAATATAATTTTTTTTTTACACCCATACTATTAAAATTACTAATATTCTTATTGTTATAAACCGAATGGCAATTTCTAGTTAAAAATATTTTATTCGGATAAAATTCTGTATTGAAATTTAAGGTCTGGATATAGAGCTTTGGGCTAATATTGACGACAATAGTTGGTCCACTATTCATACAATTGTCAGACACGAAAAATTATCCTCTTGCCAAAAAAAGGGTATTTTTCTATTTTACTCTCTGAACAATTGGCAAAAAAAAAAAATTCGAGACAAAAAAAGCAAACTAACATTGTTTTAGAATTCGATAAAATTTTTGCCCGTAAATCTTTCAAAGGTTAAAATTTATTTCTAGACACTGGGAACAATGGAAAAAGAGGGAAAAAAAAGTCCTCTCTTAATTTTTCAAAATCAAATAATTTCCTTAATGAAAGGTAGTATTTTTTTTGTACCCTCCAAAACGTAATTCTATAGCAAACAAAATCCACCTTTACAAAGTTAGTTAAACGTAGCCTGTCTATCTAAAAAAAAAAAAGAATCGAAGAGTTTGTGTCTGACTAAACATATTCGCTTTCACTGTGTGTATACAAAATTACCTGTGTCCAAACTAAAAGGCACAATATTTTTTTTCCTTTATACATGTACTGTAAAAAGTGAATATATATACGATACGAGTTGAACTAAATATAAAAATATTTCTTCGAATAGTGTGATATGGTTAACAAAAACATTGTTTTTGTACTTGCAATTCGATTGAATTGTATAATTGGAAGGAAAAATAGAGAACAATTGTGAATTTTTTTCACATATAGGGAATATTTTTTATAGGAAAAAACAGAGATTAATTTCTCGTTTAACTGTGATGATAAAATGGAAAAAATAAAATATATCAGGGTTGCCAAAGGTCAGGAAAGTCAAGGAATTCAAAGAAAAGTCAAGGAAAGCAGAATTGATCAGGAAAATCAAGGAAAAGGCAGACATTTATATTAAAAGTACTGGGACAAATTAAATTTTTACAATTCATAAGAAAATTCTGAATTTTTGTGTCTTTTTTGTTTGCCTCATAAGCTATAAAATTACCACGAATTCTAATAAAAAAAACCTTTAATTTTTTCTATTTCTGACAATAATTTCTTTTTCAACACCTTAATTCTTAAAGGACTATCAAAAAATTATTACTTATAAATTATTTCATGAATAATTTTTCGGAAATATTTCCAAATTAATTGAATTTTAAAAAAATTACGTTTACAATTTTCATAAATAGATGAACTTTAAAAGGTTTTAATTTAAAATGTTCTAGAATTTCAATTTTTAAAGAATTTAATTCTAAATTTTAAAGAACCTAGATTTTTTAAAAATTCAAATACTTTTGAAATTAGTTTAATTTTTTAATACATTTTTAATTAATTATTATTAAAACTAATGGATTTATAGAATAATTTTAGTTAAAAACACTGAAAAAATTAAATTTTAGAGAAGTTACAAATGATTGCAGTTATTAAATTATTTTGAAAGGTAATAAAATTCTTCACAGACATACAACTGTGTTCGAAAATTTTTAAAAATTCTCTTCAAAATTTCAATTATCTTTATAAATAATAAAATTGTCCAAAATTCAATTATTTTCAAAAATTTTCTAAAAGAATTCAATTATTTAAAAAAACAAATTTAATAAAATTCTACGCAAACATTTAATTATTTGCCAATTTTCTATAAATTTCTTAGTAGAAATTCAGTTATTTTCATAAATAATAAAAATTTCACAGGAATTTAATTATTTACTAATTTTTTATAAATTTCTTAGTAGAAATTCAATTATTTTCATAAATAATACAATTTATTACAGGGATTCAATTATTTTCATTAATAATAAAATTATTTTTAGGAATTCAATTAATTTTTTAAATAATATTTTCATAACTAATTAAAATTACACAGAGATTAATTTATTTACAAATTTTTTATAAATTTCTTAGCAGCAATTCAGCTATTTTCATAAAACATAAAATTTCTAACAGTAATTTAATTATTATCATAAATAATAAAATTCACTGCAAAAATTCAATTATTTTCAAAAATTTCTATAAAATTTTTCAAAAGAATTTAATTATTTAAGCAAAATTTTAATAAATTTCTACGCAACAATTTAAGTATTTTCACGACTAATAAAAATCTCACAGGAATACAATTAATTAAATTTTTTTATAAATTTCTTAACAGTAGGTAATTCAATTAGTTTCATAAATAATAAAAATTATTGTAGAATTTCAATTATTTTTAATACAATTTAAATCGAATTCGTCAAAAAATGTTATATAATTATTGAATATTAAAAGCATTATAGCGTGCATTTTTAGAAAGAAAGGAATTTTGAAAAGGTTTTAAATTAAAATCTTTTGAAAATTTGAATTTTTCATATTTTTAATTAAAATTATTTTCTAATATATATTTAATTAAAGAATTTCCGAAAAGTCGAAATTTTGTAAAATTTGAATTGTAAAGAAATGAATTTAAAAATTCTTAAAAGAACTTTATAAAAAATTATTAAAAATAATTCATTTAAAGAAGAATTTTATTCAACTATTCTAAAAAATAATAATTGAATTGAAATGATAAAAATAATTTTAATAAAGTTACATACAGTAACAATATTCTTATAATAAAAAATAATTATTTCATCATTACATTATGTTTTATATTAAATATTCTTATAAATTGTTGAATTTCGAAAAGGTTTAAATTCGAAACTTCTGAAAATCTTAATTTCTATGAAAAAATAATAATGATTAGATACTTATTTAAAAATAAAGTTATTTATGTTTTCGAATAATTTTACAATTAAAGAAATTTGTAAATAAATGTAATAGAACATTTTTTTTGAGTATCTAATAATTTTTAGAGTGAGTCAGAATACTCTTTAGAGTCAGGGAAAAAGTCAAAATTTTGTCTGAAAATCATAGTGAAAAGTCAGAGAAAAACAAAATTAAATTGTGTTAACTCTGTGTAGAATTAAATAGTAGATAAAAGAGTATTTTTTTTAATAGTGGCCATTTAGTTGCATGGTTAAATTATTTCAGTGAGAACATTGGTGTCGCTATGGTTGTAGTGTAGTTGGGACTATAGTCGTAGTTTATTTTCTCACGCCCCTTTACTTTGCTACTAGTGACGGTAAAGACCGTAAGAGAGAAAGAAAGAGCGAGAGAGAGAGAGAGATGGAGAGTAGTGGCGAACGAGTAAAGAGTATATATATATAGAGGTGGGGGGGGGTGAGAGTGAAGGAATAGTAGAGGAAGGAGTTTCAGTCAGTTTTCAGGGAAACTTGCCAGTGCAGGGATTAACTCTTGCCTCTAACAAAAACGGGAAGTGTGCACCGACGACGGGGGCTCGTGCAACTCGAGACCACGAATATATATCACTTGAACGGGTTCTTCTTACCAGAGAGTCGGAAACTCGGTTCTATATCGTATCTCGACTTTAGTCTAGATTATACGCTTACTTAAGGCTCGTAATACATGCACACACGCTTACGAAAACTAAGCGATGTCAGATCCTCGTTTCCTCTTTCATTTAAGCTTTCAAGCGCCGTCTATTAATAGTCGATTAATGTTTATACTTTATTCTATGTACAATTTTGTTTTTTGGTAGTGAAAAGTCGAAATTGTTAGCAAATGGGTAAAAATTGGTGACAAACATACCAGATTGGTACCAAAAGTATCAGATTGGTACCAAACATAACAAGTTGGTATCAAGCACATCAAAATGGTACCAAACACAGCAAGTTGGTATCAATCATATCAAAATGGTACCAAATGATTCAAATTAACACCAAAAGTACCAAATTCGAAAAAAGGTATCAAAAAAGTATAACATATTTTAAATTGCTATGAAATATATCGAAATTGGTACAAAAAATATTATATTGGTTGCAAAGAATCTAAACTGATACTCATGATACAATAATTAGTACTAAATATTTCAAGATGTAACCAAAAGTATTAAATTCGTAGGCGAAGAAGCAAATTATTACTAAATGTATTGAAATTGGTACCAAATGTTTCTAAATAGAACAAAATTTTTCAAAATTGATATGAAATGTTTTAAATTGGAACGAAATTTTTTTAATTTGTATCAAATTTTACAAATTGGAACAAAAATTATTAAATCAATACTAATTGTTTCAAGTTGGTACCAAATGTATAATTATTCGTACCAAAAGCATCAAATTGTTACTAAATGTACCAAAATTGGTACCAAATGTTTTTAAATTGTACAAAATTTATCAAAATTGGTACCAAATGTTTCTAAATTGTACAAAATTTATCGAAATTGGTACCAAATGTTTCTAAATTGAACAAAATTTTTCAAAATTGGTATGAAATTTTTTAAATTGGTACGACAAATTTTTTAATTTGTATAAAATATTACAAATTAGTACCAAAATTATTGAATCAATACCAATTGTTTCAAGTTGGTACCAAAGGTATGATTATTCGTACCAAAAGAATCAAATTGTTATTAATTGTACCAAAATTGGTGCCAAATGTTTCTAAATTGTACAAAATTTATTAAAATTGGTATCAAATGTTGTAAATTGTTTCTTTATAACA